AAAAAAAAAAAAAAGGTCAAAATGATTGAAATACATGATTAGGCTAAGTGGGCATTTCTTTGTCTGTAATTAAACATAAAAAATTATTTGAGTTTAAGACAAGGAACTCCAAACCAGCCTTTTTCTATAAAGGCTGCAAAGTTATTGTTTTCTTTTGGTATGTGCAGTACAGCTCAAATGCTCAATAGAGCTTTGAAATGGACTCGAGCAAGGATAGCAAAATACAGCTGCCTGGAAGGTAGAATTTGCAGAACTGACCAATAAATTTACCAAGAATCCTGTTAACTGAAATGTTTACAAAGGCAGCACATGCATAACAACAGGAATGCACTGATGTGCATGGATCTTTCACCCTTTTTGCCTTGGGTATCTATCCATTATCACCCATGTAAATGTTCTTGCACAGCCAGTGTTCTAAAATATTTTTTGGAAAACTTGAGTCTTAATGGGACCATAATGGAATGGAAGATTTAGGAGATGACTATTTAACACCCAATTGTGGTATTTAGTTAGCTTGTGATTTTTTTTTTTAATAGGTAATGCTTGAGGCTTAAGGGTGATGTTAGTGTGGGAATGCAACCACCTTGTGTTTTCAGGTGGCCTTTCTGTTAACAGTTAAGCACACAAAAGCTGTGAGAATTGTGCTTAATGTTCAAGATAAGTAGATGCTGCATGCCCCATGTTTTAAAGTAACACGGTGGAAACTTTATCCTGGTTTTCAAGATAGCATTACTGAAGGCTTGGAACTGAAGCCTAGAACTAGTACAATATTTAGCAATCTAGTGTATGTTTTACTACACACAATCTCGAAGAGAATGATTTGGGGCTTTTGTTGGTGAGATTTAAGTTAAGCAGCTGAGCTAGGAGGTTTAAGTCAGTTCTGAGTGTATGTAGCAGTAATGAGATCTACTGAGGAGAGACATTTTAAACTGCTGTCTCTTGTAGTTTTGGCTTGCATTAGTATTAGAACTAGTAGCTATTGTTGTGAGAGCCAGAATGAATGTTTAACAATTGAATGAATAGTTCCAAGCTTTCCCTCCTTAGTCAGGCTTCAGCCAGGGTTTTGGTGTTGAGCATTTTACGAAGGATCAGAAATGCAAAATGGTATAGCTGTCTCACTGGGGTGGTTAGATTAGATTTTCATGGTTCTGTATCTCTCTGTTAAGAAAGCTTTTATTCCTTTCCTAACTGCCAGTCGTGCTCTGTCATTACTGTGGATTTTAGGCAGGTACAATAAATGTGCATCTAATCCTTGTTATGTCTTACTGATGAAACTTAGTCAAACAGATTAAATGGTGTTACGTGTCTCGCTTCCTGCAAGGTGCAGAGTATTCCAATAGGTCTGATCATTTATCCACTGAAGAAAAGTAATGAAACATCCACTGACTTAAGCAGGAGTAGGCTTGGACTGAAATTGAAGTACTGACAAAGAAGGATGGAAACAAGCAAGACTGAAAAAAAAACTAGTTCCATCGTGGTTCTTGCAATAAATATTTATCTTCAGCTTCTTTTAAATATAATGACAAGAAGAAAGAAAATACCTAATTTTCCTGTAGGAATTTTATATTGCACCTAATGCAGAAATAAAATTCTTTGTGTAAGTGTTTGCCACATAATGTCATAATCCTTTTTCCCAATAGTTGCAGTTAAAATCTTGTGTTCAAGATTGTCTTTTATTCTGTCTGGTATACTGGTGCTCTAGGCAATGCTGAGCTATTTTAATATCCATAGTGTAGGAGACCACTAGAAATTTAAGCGAGGTAAATGATGCTATTAAAGGTATTGGCAGAAGGTATTTTGATGCACCTGCTATGCACAGAGCTCTTATCCTTCCCTACTTGGTGTAGAAGGTGGATAATAGTGTTGGGGGTTTTGGCAGTGTTTCGGTTTTTTTAAAATACTGTTGAGCTACTTGAAATATATTTCCTTTTGCTCTCCAGATAACAAGGAACTTTACCTTGCTAAGGCACTTCACAAGGCATTTCTAGAAGTTAATGAGGAAGGATCAGAAGCTGCTGCTGCCTCAGGTACCTAACTGAAAAGCAGAACTAAATCGAATGTTTATTGTGTGTTAATTAATTTTTTAAAACTGACTTGTTGTACAGCCAGGAAAGCTAAATAGCATGTAGCATGAAAACACAGCATAGCAAGCATGCTTTTCAGAAGAGAATTCTGGAAATGAAAAGTATTAGCATTTTTTAACACGATGTGTTTCAGAAAGAATTTTGAGCATCCTGTGGGAAACCTCTTGTCCGTATTTTGCTTCTGATTGTCAGGAGGGTACAGACTGCAATTTATATTTTCTTTATGGAACTTCAGCATTCATAATTTTTTATCTGCTAATTGACATGGTCAGAGACATTTGATTGATCCAGATTAGTTAGAAGGAGCTGAGAGTTTTTGCATTTGCCTTTTCGTAAACTGGTATACAGAGATGCAAGATGGGAAGTGCTAAATGCAAAAACTTAGCTGGCCCCTGTTAATGCCAGGAGGCCAGGTGACTGGTTTACTTGGTTATCCCATGCTTTTTCTGAAAATAAGTTACATTAGTTGCCAATATGTATCATTAGGTGATTTCTAATTGCCTCCACTTGTACTATACTTTGAGAAGAGGAAGGATTACTTCCCTGGTCATGAATATGAGTAACTGGGTTGTTTTGTAACTTTAATATGAACAGAGACGACTGGCATGTATGAATCTTTAACAGTGTAGTGAAACTGTAAAAGTAAATGAAACACTGGGAAATAATAAAAAAGTCCTGGAGAAATCCATACATGTCCAAATAAAAATAACAAAGACCCAAATTCTGCCTGATTCCTGGTTAATTTTACTTTCAATCTCTGCGTTATTTAAAGACTCAAGCTAAACGCCACAAGACCAGCCCATTTAGTTGTTGCATATTCTGTAGTTATTAAGCATTACCTTTAACTATCAACTGCAAGGTTGGAGCTGTTTAAAACAGGTCAGCAGTGCTGTCTAATGCATTTTCTTTCTACAAGTGAGCAGGAGTCACAGCTCCTCTTAAGATTGTTCTGGATCTTAAAATTTGTAAGCTGCTCCCTCAGCCTGGGAAATTGTTAATTTAACTCTCCATTGTTAATCATTCTTAAAGCATAAATAGACATGCAATTACTCTGTAGGTCTCTTTCATTTTCAGTTAGATTTTTCATGATATTTCTTGGTGACGCTTAGTGCTGAGAGTGTGGGACTTAAGTGCCTGCTCATGAGCTTCATGAGTGTCACTCATGAAGAGCAGGAGAATGTGTAGTGATATTTAACAAGTTGCCTGTGTTCTTTTTCCTTTAGGAATGATTGCCATTAGCAGAATGGCAGTGCTGTATCCTCAAGTTATAGTTGACCATCCCTTCTTCTTTTTGGTCAGAAACAGAAGAACAGGTGAGAATATTGCAGACTCTTCCACATTTTTCATGGTATATCATCAAGTATACAAAAGAAGATTGCGTATCTTGATCAGTGAACTAGATTTGTATTATGAATTTTCCTTAATTTGTCTTAGAATACCTAATATTGAAAGACTCACCTTTTCTATGTCCCCTTACTGTTTCTCTAAGACACCAAAATATGACATAATGCTGAAAAATATTCACAATTACATGATTAAAAACCCCAGGGAAGAAAAATTCACCATTTTTCTTTAGAGAACACAGTGTTACTGCCCTGAATATCCATAATCATTGCATCCCGTAAGAGCTTGGCTGTAGTAAGACTAGTGAGATATGTTCCCGGTACCAAATGATTTGCATAATGGACAGATATTACAGCTATGAATAATTCTGTTGTGCTCTTGAAGTGCTGTGGCCACCAAGGAGTGAGAACAGCACTTAGTAGCAAAATGGGCGATGATTAAGTAACTCCTTAGTTTCATATTTATAATTTGTCTTAATGATGTGAATGTGACTGGATGACAGAACATTACTATGCACCCACGGACTATCATAAGGGTCTGTGTGTTGCAGTATCGTACATGTTCTACAAGCAAACTCTGGTAGGATCAGTTTGACAGGTTTTTTTCTGTATTTGAGATCTCTAGCTTGGGTATCAATGTTTATTAAACCATTTAGATTGCAGTAATGCTTACAGTCTAGCTAGGTAGGGTCACTTGTGTGCAAGGTACCAACTCTTTGGTTTTGGTTTTGTTTAGTTTTGTGGTTTTTTTTTTTACCAAAACTAAGCTGAGTATTCTTGCTGTTGTAAACATATAATTAGACAAAAATGTATCTGGAGGAGGGTCTCTGCCCTTTTTCCCTACTCAATATACAAAAATCTCCCCAAAAAGAAAAATTTAAATCAGAACAGAGTAGAGCTTGGTAGCTTTGGGGCAGTTCTTAACGTTGCACAGGCCTTGTTGCATGTAGAAAGAGGAAGTGCCAACAACTATAGTTAAAGCCTGAAAGCTCATTACTATTGTAGAAATCTAAGGTTAGAAACCTTTTGGAAAAAAAATCTGTAATGGTTACCCTTCTCAAGAATACCGTAAGTGCTCGTGATTGCTTACTGTGTTTAAACAGGTTAGATAGAAATGTGTAAAATGCGAAAGATGTAAATGGTGATTAAATAGCGTAGGGGAGCAGTATTCATGTAGAGAATTCCTTGTTGTGGGTTGCATGCTCTAATGTGGAGTAAATCTGTGAACTCAAAATATCTATGTATTAATAATTAACTGATTGGTGTTGAGCTTCTTGCGCTCACTTTTGATTCTATAAGGAACATTGTCTAGCAGCTCAGGCCTGTGATGGTCAGAAGTGATGATGAAGGTTACTCTGATTAGGTGTTCACACTTCAGTCAAGGTTAGCCGCCATCTTTGGAGCCCCCCAGCCTAGAAACGAGTACTGTGTCATAACCACTTGACATCAGCGGCAGTACTTTATGGGCCGTCATCAGAACCATTGAAATGAAAGTGAACCTTTGTGTTGATTTCGGTTGGGTTTTCAATCAAGCCTTTAGAATAAGCAGAGGGGCACTGAAGTGCAGAAGAATTCACTGTTCTTATCTGTACTGTATCAGTTCTGAATACAAAGAGGTCCTCTTCTCTAGGGCTATTGATCCATTGCCTTTCATGGTTACCAAGTCCTCTGAGACATGTGTTGCTATAAAAATTGTGCACCACATGCTCTAGAACTTATTATCAGTATTTATCATCTTACAACCTCAACTTTTCCTTTTCCCTTCCTCCCTTCCCACTTTTTCCACAGGTACTGTGTTATTCATGGGAAGGGTAATGCACCCTGAAGCAATGAATACAAGTGGCCATGATTTTGAAGAGCTTTAACTACCACCAGCTACCAAAAAAAGGAGATAAGCACATAAAGTTTGAAGTTAATATATTTCAGGTTTGCTGTGTTTTCCCCCAAGATACTGTTTAAAATGCTTTCAGATCTAACTGTGTGCAAGTCAGTTTCCAGAGGAAAGCTTACAGTATTAAAGTAATGGTTCTGTTTCTGTTGTTGTGATTGCTGTGTCCTTAAAATAAAATTGTGTACATGTCAACAACTGTTTCTTGTTCTAGTGAATTGTAAAGCAAAAAAAATGCAAATCCATTATTCATAATTTTCTTACAGTCCAAAGACTGACTTGATCAATGAGACAGGAGCGGAATGTGTGCAGCTCTGAATAATGCAAATGGCAAACCTTGATGATAATTTATAGAGTTGAAGAACTACATCTGGAAAATGTGATCTCTTCCTGTTCCTGTAAAAGTAGTAAACAGACTGTGATACGCTGTCTCATCAAAGTTAATGGAACAAATTAAGCCTAGTGGATTTTATTCTATAAGATAACTGTGGTAGACTTTGTGTGAACTCTCGCACATGTGTTTCTAAAATGTTGCTTTTATGAATGCTCCTGCATGTGACTCTGCAATTGACCCTCCATAACTGTTAATGCCAATAAAATTTGATTGCATGAATATTTGAGACTAGTCAGTGTAGAATAGCTATGTATGTTACTGAAGTAAAATAGCTGAATATTAATGTCATTCATGTGGACACATTTTTCTCCCCCAAAGTAGTTGTTCTGCTTTAACCTAAACTTTGCAGTATCTCACTTCAGGGATCTAGAATGAAAGAAAGAAGAAAAATTAAAAAAAAAAAAAAAGAAAAAAACACCACCAATTTGAAGTGTCTAAAAATGTTCTATTCATAAATAAATGACTAAAGGAACAACATAATCCTTTTTATTCCCTAACGTTTTACTGGGAATAAACTGACAGAGAGAATGACACATACCACAGGTAAATATTAGCAGGGGAATTGGTTGCTGTTTCCATTTGCAAGGGGAGACTTACCAGTTGTCACCAGAAAGGCATATAATTATTTCCTCCCTCGTTGTGCAAAATATTAAAAAAACAGAAGTTATTAAAAAGGTAAGAAAGTAGGAGAAAAGAAGGGAGGAGCTCCTTTGAAACAGATCATAAATACAAACTTTTGGATAGTAAGTGGGTTTCTTCTCAGTCAATAGGAGTTTTGTCTTTTGAATTCTATGGGAACAAATGCATATCGGCTGTACTTTAGATATAGGCTTCTCTGGCATACGTTCACTTCAAAACAGCATAGATGTTGCTCACAAAGTTATTCATGCAAGAACTTCCAAAATCTGACACGTTGTTCACTTTTTTTTTATACTGCTGGTGCAAATCATGAAGGTCAAACTGCAAAGTGATGGATGTTCTCCATGGAGGCAGGTTATGCTCACTCAGAGAAAGGGCATTTGAACACATTTCTAGCCCTACGTCCTTGAACTATTTAGTTCTGTTGCACAGAAGAAAAATGGAACTCCTTAGTGTATTGCTGTTGCTTATTACCCTTGGCATATTATAATCTGGACTTGGTAAAACAGTTTTTTGTATTCAAATTTACACAAAAATTGTAATTTTAGTTCTGTATAGCTAAAAAAGTTATACTTGGGAGGGGAAAAAAAGGGAGCTTATACGAAGGAGCCAGGGGCTAATTTTACTGTGATATAGAACCAGTCTCACTGCAGGTAAATCCAGCTCCTTTGACACAGGGTTACACAAAGGCTGGTTCTTCATGTTTAAATGATTCTATGAACATCATCTAATTTCTGTAAAAGTGACCCGTATGCTAAGGAACTCTTGTAGTTTTGACCTTATGGGAGCCTGATTTTTAGACAAATTTTTGAGGTGTTCATTCTGATTTGGAAAGATGTAGTGATGTCACAAGCAGATGACAACCCTTAATCGTGTTTATTTTCAGTCCATCGAAAGTTCTTCCTGACCAATTTTGTGTTTTCTTTGCATTAGTTCCTTGCAGCATAGATTCTTCTTACCAAGGGAAGGACTAAAGATAGATTTGAACTAAAACTATGGAATTACAGAAGGACAGCTGCCAGTCAGAAGTATTTATAGAGGATATCAGGCAAGTGTACAGACTTCCCTAGCAGTTAGACTGAGCATAGGTATAAGTGGAATTGATGCAGAATCGCATACTCCAAATCTGATTCTGAGGACTGCCTAAATGGGCATTTAGGAAAACCAGCAGAAACAGAAATGCAAACACTAGTTATTTCACTTGATACTTTCCTAGGCCTTACAGATGCAAAATAGCCATTTCATATTTCTTGAAAATTGAGAATTATCTGGTTTTCAACAACATGAATTGATTTATTACCAAATTATGCAAAGATGTTAGTTGTAGACCGCAATGAGAACAGCTCTCAAACAATACATTTTTCAGTAGTGATAATATCTTAAATGTTGTTACCAATTTATTGAGGTATATGAATACTATTCCATTGTGGTTTTTAATCTAGATTTTGTATAATGTTCCTTTCGAAGATGCTATTGCTTTTTTGAGACAGAACTAGCAAAATTTTGTCTTTTTGTTTGGATTTTTTTTTTTTGGTAAGGGGAATTTGTCAATAGTGGCCTACATGTAAGTTTAGGTGTTGTAGTCTTAAAATTAAAAAAAAAATGTATTTTGTGTTGGAGGATATATCAGAAAATAAATTACTGAAACTTCTATAATTGTGCTGTGTAAGTGACCCATGATGTGACACTGTCTACCAACATCCTTTTGTGATGCAGATGGAGTTTAAGCATGAGATGCAGTTGCCTAATGCTATGATCTTCTCTCTTGCATACATGTATTGGAGTCCTGGTGAAAATGCTTTTCAGAGCTGCAGTTTGAAAGTGTACTTTCCCTATGAATCTTTTTAGTGGTGGTGCTACCACCGGAGACTGACTTATTTACCTAGTAAGATCCCACTTGTACATGACCTCGAGCAACAAACAGTTTTCCTAGATTAGTGCTACATTCAAACAAAAATTTGTCTTGTTGTATGAATTGGAAGATTTTTGCTGCTGTTCCAAACGCTAATTTTCACTATCCTTTGACAAGCCTTGGTGGTGGCAAAGTAGATTGTTATATCGGTTTCTGTGAATCAAGTACATGATATTCCTCAAATGAAATAAGATCTTGGTGTTATACCGGAAACAACAACAAAAAAATTTAGTTGAAGCTTTTGTGGCTAATTTTTATTTTTTCAATGATAGACAAAAGAAGAAACCACAAGATGTCACTCTATGCTAAGAAGCTGAGAAGTACTTTCCTGTTGACAGTAATCCTGCAGGAGTGTTGGAAAGCTGAATATCCTGAATGGCACTCAAGTATATGTAGGTCTTGGCAAAATCAATGAGAGCTGCTTGAGTTTGAGAGCATAATTAGACTCAGGTGTCTGAGATTAACAATCGGGAGCAGGGGGAACAAACCCCCAAAAAAGCTGCTTCATATTACAAACTTTTCTCTGTCTGCTTCTTGATAACAGACTACTGGATTAAGTTCATTGCTCATAGGGGATTTTTTTGTCCAGCTCATAGCCTGCATGATTGCATTGTGTGGGGTGAAGTAAAAGAAAAAGTTTGTTCTTTCAGCCCATCCTCATGAACAGCAGTAGAGCTGTACTGTGGTTATTTGAGTGTCAGTGCTGCAATAGGAGGCATATTTTCTTGACTACAAGAGCGAAATAACTAGGGTTGAAGTCATATGATATGCTGGCCCTATTATTCTGTTGTTTTCTTTTGCTTACCCCTTTTATTTCCCCCCTCCCTTGCTGCCTTACATACAGTCACTAGAATTTCTGTGTGAGCAGATTCTCAGCGTGTTCTCCCCTTTTACAGTCAGGTTACACCACTGTCAGCTGTTCTCCTCTCTTCCTGGGGAGGAGGCAATATTGTTCCTACGAGGATTTTCTAAAAAAGACAAGAAGGCGTACAAGCTAGTTCTCAAGTTGTTTCTGTCTCTTTTAATGGGCAAACTTTGCTTTTGTCCCTACAGTGGAAAATGGAAATACATGGATTAAAGAGAGATGGATGGCTTGCCCATAAAAGCTAATGCTAGGGAGGAGAAAAACAGGACCTTAGTGACTCGGATAATACCAGCAAAAAGTGAGTCGACTTCCCTTGTGAGCTACTCTACATCTACTGCCACAGCTGATGAGAAATTGTAGATTAATTTAGCTTGTAAAACTGTCTGCAGTCCCCAAGGATTTTAGATCAAGCTGCAGTGGTTACAGGGGTCCAGACAGAATGAAGACCCTGCCTGCTTTCTGGGGACCTTTGTTAATTGGTTCAGTAGCTTGTCTTCAGCTTCCAGCTGGCATTGGTTAAGGGCTATAAAACGAAATTACACATGAGAAACCAATCGCAATACACAAACGTAGTTGGTACTGTAAAACTCATGAACAACACTACATATCTGTTACCCTCATCTACCAGAGCTTCTCAAATGACATTTTTCTATACAGTACTGCTCTTACAACAACATCCACATGAATGTTTTTCATTTCACAGTACTAATTGGAAGCCTGAGTCATGGACCAATTGCTCTAGGCATTAGGCAAACTGAATAAAAACATAGACAAAAGTCATGTAATAAAATGAGGTTTAAATTGCAGTTTATACACAATAGCACAGTGTGATAGTCAAGGCTCTAAGGCTAATGAAAGATATCAGACTTACTCACAGTCACTGTGACAGGCAGGTAAATGGAGAAAAGTGGTAAAAATAAATGTATTGTCCAAACAATAGATAAGTCTCAGCTCCACTTGCTATTTTATAAATTGTTCAGACTTTTTCAAAACACCTTACAAATGCAGCCTCCAAACTCCGTTAATGGCTGTGCCTGGAAGTCAGGCAGCTAATCATTCTCAGATAGGTGCAACTCCAAACGAAGCACAGCAAAGCTCAAAATGTTGGCAGCTGTTCCTAAAAAACATGGTATGCAAAAGTCTTCACAGCACTCTCGGCTTTCAACTGTGATCAAATAGCCTGAAAGTTTTGGTTTTTTTTTTTTTCTTAATGATGTGTTTGCAACACTCTGTTCTGGAAACTACTCTGGCAGATAGTGGTAGTAAAATTCTAGGTCTACTAGGACCTGGCTGAGGAAAAAGATTGAAATTGTTCCTGCAGCTAGGGAATTTAGCCTGTTGCCTGAGTTTTTATCTTTCCAGCCCCACTGAATCACAATATGAATGATATTTCAGATATGACCCAGGCTTTACTGATAACAAGTTGTTTTACTGTCTCTCTCATAAACACAGATATTCCCTGTGGAAGAGTCATCTTTTGGACAGAGGGAAGAATTCCTCCAGAAAAATGATTTTGTATTTGTGTAGAAGTGCTTTTAAGTAAGGAAGAAAAAAACATACAGAGGAAATCTGGGTTGTGTCTAAATCGTGTCTTTTGTGCTCTCATTAAGTGATTGGAACTGGCCATGGAAAAATCCTGGTTTTTCTTTAAGAACAATTTGTTTAGATAGGCTTCAACCATTCCTTCAAGTATTTTAATGTTACCAAAAGAGTTTAGACCCAATCATAGTTTAACATTTTTGCTCTATTTACATATATTTGTTAAGAGTCATGGTTTAAAACCAAGCAACTTGCAGTCTGGAATGCTTACAAGCGGTAACTGTATGAAAGCATTGCCTGAACAGAATGAAAGAAATATGTCAAAACATGCTAAGAAATAAAAGACATCAAGAAGTCCATATTGCCCTGACACCTGTAAGGATCATGGTCAATGGACAATGCTAAATCTTACCAGTCACCAAGTGTCTGATACAAAAAAAACAATTTATTTGAGGCTTTTGTCATTGTCAATATACTTTGTAAATGGCATATTTCTAAAGGTAACAGCTAGAACAGTTGGTATAGTTTGACAGGAATTAATAAAATTTCTCAAGTTTATTACAGGAGAAATACTGGTCTTAAAATTCATTGGCTGTTCTGGGAAACGTTCTTGTTGGGTCAGGTTGCAGCTTGGAATTACCAGTGTGTGGTGACAGTCTGTTGTTTTCCAGGAGCAGGACCGTGTAAAACTTTCCTGCCAACTCTGAACCAAGGATCTGTCTTCATCAGCTGAGCTGCTATTATAGCCCTCAGTGAAACCCACAGAGAGGTAGAAAAGGCCGATTCTAATGTTGCTGCTGCCTGTTTTACATATGTGTCTCCATTGATTTTTCCTGTACAAAATTTTCTCCTTGGTCTAAAGAAAAAGAGAATCAGAGAGAATGTGCTACAGTTTGTAAGTTCACTTCAGATTTTTTGAACAGAAGTTATTTGCAAATTGTCACAATATTTCAGAGCTAGTCTTACTGCTACAGCTTCATAGAGTGCAAGTTGAATAGGCTAACCTTGAATACTTCATTTATTTTTCAGTGTCATTCTGAGTTTAATGTGTATACATCTATGGAACAAAGTGTTCTGAGGAGGTGATCTCTTGATTACTGACCTTTTGAATCATAACGCATGTGGGATAGAGAGCTTGGAACCATGAGTAAAATAGCTTGCCTTGTATCGAGCACTTAGAAAAGCCGAGGACGTTACCCATTCTTCCTCTTCACTATGATGATTACAACAAGGTAGGCATAAGCCATCCTAAGGGAGAAAGTGCAGTTACCTCTGAGCAGAAATTAGGGAATGTCTGGTTCCATAACTTTAGATGTTTAAATCAAGCAAACGATCACATAGTGTCCGAAACACCCGTAGCAAAGAGCATCATCAGATAAAGCTAAATTTAATCAAAGTCATCTGGATCCTGTTCCAAATCTCTTTGTAGTGCATCAAAAAAAAAGGTTGCCATTAGTTTCAGTCAGTTTTGGGCCATGAGCAGATTTCTCTTAGCCTATGCTCGGAAGCATGAGTACAAAGAACCAAGTGGGAACTGACATACCTGTGATTTTGTGTGATTAGTAAGAACTCAATTTTTGCACAATTTGCAAAAATTATTTCAGGCGACTTACCTAAAAGATGAAATAGACTTCTAATTGCAGTTTTTCTGGGAAAAAAAATGTCAAGACCATAAGCACGCAAGGTGTAGAATTTATAAAGTTGTGTTTTGTGTGTGTACACATGTGCGTGCAGTCCATTAAATGTAGACATGCTGTGAGAATCACAAATACTGTTACTATTTTACTATCGTGTTAGAGTAAGTAAGCAAAACCTAACCTAAGTGTCTTTGCACGAAACCATAAGATAATGCAGTACAAAATAATGAAGCCACTCTACGCCTCTTGGTTTAGAGGCTGGAGGACTTTTCCTTGATGCAGGATGCCTATAATGGAATAAAAAGGTTGTTTGCCCCTTTCCCTTTCTCAGTAACTAGCTTGGCTGGGTTCCTGTCTTTAGGTCCCTGAAGTTAAATGAGATGAATTCAGGTCTCTTGAAACTGTTGACAGCATATTCCTCTGCCTACAACCATTGCACAGAGAATTCACAAGGTAAATATAAGTAGACAGATGAAGGCAGAGAATCCTGGGGAAATAAAGGGGTATCAGTGTTTAACACGAGGGGCAGCAGAACTAGCTTGGCTGGGTTCCTGTCTTTAGGTCCCTGAAGTTAAATGAGATGAATTCAGGTCTCTTGAAACTGTTGACAGCATATTCCTCTGCCTACAACCATTGCACAGAGAATTCACAAGGTAAATATAAGTAGACAGATGAAGGCAGAGAATCCTGGGGAAATAAAGGGGTATCAGTGTTTAACACGAGGGGCAGCAGCAAAGCTCACCAGCCACGCAGCCGCTGTCAACACAGAGGGCCCTGAAGAGGACCCTCAACCTCCACTTGAGGAGCCGGCAGAACCCATTCCCTTATGTGCTGCCTCTGTATTACTTTGCATGTATTTTATAGATACAGCAACTTGTTAGTAGATTTATTGGCAGTGCACTAAGAAGTATCTTTAAGACAAGTTAATTCAGGCTCTCTTAGCCTTGATAACACCTGCTTAAAATATGCTTCCTTCTATGAATGACAAGAGTAGAGAGATTATATTATGATCGTTCCATGACAAGTGACTTCCAAAAAGCAACATAGAAGGCTATTTTTCAGAAGGACCATTAACCGTCTGGCAGCCCATTTTCCACCCTTCATTGTAAGCATGATAATCTGAACAGCATTCAAGAAAAAGGCGGATCGAAGTCTTTGCCTTTTCCCCAGGAAATGCATCCTGACAACTCCATAGACAAAGGTTTTCAAGTGGAAAACATGTTTTACATTTGTATCTCTTTCAGTGCTGTAAAGCCCTGCTTATTTTTTAGAGTTTCTGTACAAAATTTTTAAATGAAGCTTGGAGATTATTAATTTTGCAGGTGTGTTCACATTCAGCACAGATACAGGGAAGACACAATTTTCTGATAAACTAAGGGGTATCTGTGACAATGTTGTACTTTTGTACCACTGTAAGTATGGCAATAGTGCTGCTGGTGACTTAAGCTGCTGTAACACTATCTAAACCTGCACAGATACAGCAGTTAGGACTTGGTTTTCCCCAATACAGTTGACAGAGCAGTATAAAATCACAGTTTTTACTCCTGTCCTCAATCTCAGAACTTACCTAGAACCTTGCAGGTTAAAATTTTGCTTTGAGTGGGGCAAGGCTATTGTGCAGGAAAATGCTATTTTACCAGCTTGTCAGGTAAGATCTGAGATACAGACAGAGATGGTGGCTCTGCCTCTGCTGTGAGGCTGGTGCTCCTTTTGGCTTCCCCTCAGCTCCTGTGCCTGCAATCACTGACTAGGATGTGATACAGTCTAGCGGTTTGCGTGCCTGCGTTTCCTTCCCAAGGAGGGGGAGATGCAGAGGGATGGTCCCCTGAATTGCATGGTTTTGCTCCAGTGCGCAGCTGGAGGACGCACACTGCACTCAGAACTGGTCTCTGGGCCACCCATTTGCCTGTAGCCCACGTGACTCATTCCACAGAAAATAACATTGCTGGAACAGAGAAAGTAACCCTCATGCTGAGTGACCAAGTACAGTTGGTCTAACGCTCTGTGGCAGGGAAGGAAGAATCCTGCTAGTTTGGCACTGGGTTAAGGTCCCTGCACTTTTAAACTCTTGTAATGTCTTTCTAGGGCTGAAAATTGGAACAATATGGTACTGTAAATTGCTGATCATAAAGCAAGATGGAGACTGATGTGCAGCTACCCACTGTGTCCCAAGCTACTGTCCAAATCACTGACTCACCTTGTTGGGCCAAAGTGTCAATGGATTTATGTGGTAGGAAAATCCAGTGAACAATCAAAGCGTTTAAAAACGAGCCAACAAATATGAAACATTTGGGAGCAGCAGCTGATGTTCCCTCAGAGATGTAACACATGATTTCTATAATCATAAAAATATATTTAATTTTGTTTATTTAAACCAGACTGTGTTTTGCTGTGCGCATTAATCATCTGGTGTCACACAATAGCACACTGAATGTCACACATTGAATCACATCTCCTGTGACACTGTTATGAATATTCTGGATGTACTCCACAGCTGTAGAAAGAAGTACTTTATGCCTTGCTAGCTGTAGAGCAAACACACTCTTGCAGCTTCATTTTGTATTCAGTAGCTCTACAAAACAGTGAAGGCAGCATGCAAAATGAGGAGGAATACTACCGAAGCTCAGCTGGTGATCTTTCACAATTCAACTGCAAAAACTATGAGGTCTGAAAGAAGACATTAAAGTACAAGTATCGGCAGAAATATTAAACTACCTTAATCAAGAGTATTACACCTGGTCACTTAGATTTTTAATAAGTTTTGTTTGCTTGAAGAAGTAACAACAGCACATAATGTTGCCTGCTGAAAACAGGGCCCCCTTCTTCCCCCACTGTGAGTCAAGGAATAAAGAAAATTTTTATTTCCCAACTGCTGGAATGCAGCATGGAGCTGGCAGAGCAAGACAAAGTGGAGCAGCTGAAAGATGGGTACAGTTTATGTTTGAGACTAGTTCAGTGGCCTGGTGGGTCTATCACTGGAGAATATAGTGACATAAAGTAGTTTAACAGCACTTTCATAAGCCTCATTTAGGCCAACAGCAGGCTTAGCCTCTTTGAAGTCCAAAGATCAGGGTGGATCTGAATGGTATGTTTTTTAATCTCTCTTTTTTTTTTTTTAAATGAAAAGCTGCTGCTTCTATCACCTCATATCTGTTAAAGCAAAAATGTAAGGCGGAGGGGGAAACGAACCTATGAAAAAATTCAGATTTGTCTTCAGAGGGGATTTTGGATGAGAACAGCTAGAGCAGAGAGAGGCGCTGGATGAAGTCATTCTGTTTCAAGCCAGTGGATTGCCTTTACTGGACCCTGATTGAAACTAATCAGTTGGCAGGAAAGACTAATACATATTGATGGTGCACCCCCCTTATCAGTGATTATAAACACATGCTCTGGGAAGTCCTGCCAACAGATTTGGTGTCCTACAGTACCAGAACTTGGGTGGAAAGACAGTGTTGTGTAGAGTAAGAGGAAGGTGCATCATCCAGCTGGAGGTAATTTCAAATCTTCTTGTCTTTTGAATATATATGAGTCAAGAATCCCTTCTCTACTAAAATCAGGAGACCTGATTTAAAATATTTATATGTATGCCTTGTGAATGCAAAATGCTTGTTACTCAGAAATCCCCATTTGGTGAGGTTAGCACTCACACCTTCTTAGCAGCAGGTACAAATATTTAGCTGAGGGACAAAGCAATGGAAAATCAGTCCCAAGAATGCTTAAATACCCCCAGTACTGCTGAAAGGAGAACGTCATGTAGCCCTCAGGATGCATATACTGTCATACAGCAAATGCAGTCTCTGACTTTGACCAGAAACACATTTTCATTACATTTCGTTTCTTTTGGCAGGACATGCCAGTTTCTAACTTTAATTGCAGGAATTGTGGACAGCTACAGTGCGTCTGTCTCCTTCCTATAAAAGAAGCACTGGAGAGAAACAAGGCTGTTTCTCCTTTCTTGTAACACAAGGCTGCCATTTTTTTAAACTGAAAGCAAGTGAGAGCAAATTATTTGGATTTCCTGACAAAAGCTGCATGAACACAACACCTTTAAGAAAAATAGATGGTTCTCATCCTAATGCTTATTGCTTCTTTTCGCCATGATCACAAGAGGCCCTGCTTTCCGTTTTCAGCTAGAGAACCTCTTTATTATCCTTGCAGACAGTGAATAACAAGACGTTCATTTGAACTACATATTTTTTTGGCAATAACACTCAGGGAAAGAATACGGATTAAAAAAAATCAGAGATGTCAGGAACAAGTTCTGCCTGTAAAAACACGTTCATAGTTCTCAGTTCCTTCTTTGATTGCAATTGGGGCAGGTGTCTCTGAATTTTAAACAACCGAATTATGTTTATCATTCAACTGTATTGCTTTTGCATGCTTTCCTATTCTTTCACTTCTTTCTTAGCATATATAGAGCTGAGTAGTTTTTACCATCTTGGCCCAGCAATGGAGTAACATCAACCAGAAATGTAGTTCAGTAAAACATGTTGTATCATTAAAACAAAAGTAAGGATAGATCTCTGGAAAAGATTAGATGTGTTTTAAAGCACATTTGTACTGAAATTCAGTGGTCTTCCTTGTCATTTTCATCTGTATAAGAATACTTACACTCTGTTCCCCTGCCTGTCTTTGCACATTAGTTATATATGTGCATGCCTGTTTGTGTAAACATGCACACGTGCGTACACACACACATACACACACAAATGCGCATATCTGTAAATATACATGTAAAACGGGTTTGCTGTACAGATGGAGTTTGGTGTATTCTGTGTCCATGCACACAGCTAAACAAATTTCAGTATATGAATGAAAGAGATGTACATGTGAGGCAGGAAGGTACTAGGGAGAAAGGGAGGGAAAGGTGCAAAGTATTTCCGATAAAAGGAAAGCTGCCCAGTATAAAAAATTTGAGAACTGCTGGTATTGATAATGAAGACTGAATGAGTCAAATGTATTATGAGTAGTTTTCCATTTCCATACTTAAAGAGATTATGCCTGTTTATCTTAAATATCTAACATATGACAACTTCGTAAAGCCAGTTTAATAAAGGAGTGCTCTAGTGACTCTTAAGTATTCCCATATTTGCAAGGTCCAAGTTTCAGGAAGGCAGGGTTTTGATGGATGAAGTGAAACAATTTTTTCAATGCAATTCAGGTAATCAATTCTCCACAAAAAAAGGAAACATAACTCTTTAGCAGTTGGCAGCAGTTACATAAATAAATACAACAATTTATGGAAATATGGTGGCATCTGCAATGATGAATGTTAGACAGGAGAATAACCAGAGATACTGCTTCAAATGACACTGTGTAAAAGGAAGCTTACAAGACTGCAACAGGAAATTGTTCATCAAAATGAATTTAGAATGATTTTCATATGATTAAAATTACCTGATGAAACTTATGTTCAATAACTTAGGAAGTACTTAATGAATGTTGTGTCCCATTGGGAATTATTAACAATTAACATATGAAAAGATGAAACATGAGATTCATAATAAAGATGCAGATGGAGGCAAATGAGACTGCCCTCATATCGGAGTTTTCATGTCCGAGTGGCTTCATCAAATGCCTGATCTTGCTTGTTTTGGCAGCTTTGGATAAGATGTTTCAAATTTTGAGAATTAGACAGAAATGACATTTGGACAAGTGAAGACTGACAGAAAGCTCATTAAAATGGATGGCAGTTTGCCTATCAATTTCAATGAGCTCTAAATCATGACCTCTGTAAAAGAATGCTCAGTTCAATCTCTTGTGAAAAACGTGGCAGATATCTGGCAGATACCGTTTGCATTTTTTCTGTATGCACATCCAAGTTTGATTCTTGTGCATTGTGATGTGCATTGCATCCAGCTGAATTCAACGGCATTACTCTTAAGGGCTAAGAGGTTAAGCATAAGCTTATGTGCGTCTGTGGATTAGGGATGCAATAATTTCATTCAATATAAAAAGCCATGTTTTAAGGTGAAAGGGGAAATATATCTCATCTCAGTAAGACACATAATGGGAGAAATCATTATTGCATATCAATCAACAGGAGTGCTGCATGCCACCAACTTCGTTTGGGATACGATTTTGTTTTCTCTTTCGTACGTGCACAGATAAGTTGCCAAATGCAAGAGAAGGCAAGTTATGTCCATTATTTTTTTTAAAAGAAACTTTTGAGAAAAAAATCTCAAAACATTACTTATACATGATCGTTCTTTAGTGTCAGAAAAAGTCTACTTCATCCAGAAATTGTTGACCTATGTTTTATTAGAAAAGTCAGATTTGATACTGAAAGAAGTCTCTCCTAAACCCAGTAAAAATGCCATTCTTCATTCCATAAACATCTCTTTTTATGGCTTGATGCAAAGACCATAAAATCAATGGAAAGACTCAATCTTCAGTGCCAGATATTGTTGTTATGACCCAGATACTGTTATTATGGCTTGCAAGCCCATTGTTTTTCCAGAAGGGAGAAGCAAGTTTCAGTACTTGTTGCTTGGTTACAGCCCCTTCAACCCTCTTGGAATTCATGGGTTTATAACACGTTAGAAAACCAGACATATATAGTTTTCACTTCAATTATTTATGCAGCTAGTTGTTGATTCCTGTATGTCTGGTAACCCTGAAGAAATGTTTCAGTAACTCTGCTCTTCTTCTATTCAAGGATTTATTCTGCTGTACTTGGCTTTTCCCTGTGAATGCTCTCCAAGTCCTACCAGTGGGAGTCAAATAGTTTACTGGAATCCTGAATGGGCAGGACAAAAAGAAATTTGTTGCCTAGGTAACTCAGCAAAATAACCAGTTAGTTTATGCAAGTGTGCCTGCTTATCTGCTGAAGCATGGATGAGCATATATACATTTAATATTGTGTTCCTTTTCTGGTGCTTCCTATGAGTATCCATGCAGATTATACTAACAAAATATTCAAAGAAATTCTCTTTCTAACTGATTCATCCAACACGAATGCCATGGATTCCTGGATATAGTCAAACCAGGTAAGATCAGTATAGAAATTAACTTTCTGCTGTTGCTATAATGTCATTAAGTTTTTAGATCTGATTTTACTGGTGGCATCAACCTGATGGTTTGATATCACCAGGAAGTATCAAGTTAACATTAAGTAAAGTAAGAATTTTACATAAAGAACATGAAACTACATCAAGCTGATTTTTATAAGCTGCTGTATCCCTGAATCAAAAAATTGTTATAATAGAGAAGTGTCACCTAAGTATTCTTTAATGATCATGAACATAATGTCAGATCAGAAAAACTCAGCCATTTAAATGCATAGACTTTAAAGCCAGATTATTCATCTAGTCTGATCTTAATGAAGTCAGTCTGCGAATCCTGTATGAATGCTGACCCTATTCACATTAACAGAATTTTTGCTGTTGACTACCACAGCGCCAGGATTTCATGGTCTGAGCATTTCAGTTATCTCTGTATAAAAGGGGTAGGGATAATATTATTTCTTTTCTCCTACTCTTTATCTGTCTGCTCTGTTCAATTAGACTACAAACTGTTTGGAGCAAACTCTTATTTTACTGGCCTTCTATGATGCCCAGAACAATAGGGCCTCTTATGGCCTACAGCAGCCATAATAATTTGAATTGTTTCCGTTATTAATCAGATCTCAGGATGAGACATATTCTGCCCAGTTCGTACATATTCCATGTACCTAGGACATGCAGGGAAGCATCCGATCGGTGGAATGTAGATGGGAGAGACACATGGTCGAGACTGATGCCCACTCTCTATTTGCCCTGCTCAGACATTTCAAAGACAAAATTACTGGTCAAAATTAGATAAAGTGGGAAAAACTGTTTCTTTCTTGCAGGGGTTGGACATGCTGCTGAATTTCTTGGCAGAAGCACATTTTTATGGGCAGGTTGTAAAGATTTGAAAAATAGTGTTTATAATGGAAAGGCCAACAC